CCGGAGCTTGACGAATCACACGAGATTTCTCAAGCAAATAATGCTCGATATCGCAAGAGGCCAAACGTCCCGATTTGTTGAAGTGAATTCGAATGAATTTTCCGAATCGGGACGAGTTGTTGTTACGAACAGTCTTGGCGTTACCGAATGCTTCCAATACTGGGTTAGTCTGGACGATTTGGTCCTCTAGCGTGACCTTCTTCTTTCCGGGTTCGGCAGCCACGCCTTGCTGGGTAGCACCGACATTGGCGAAATAGGCAATTACCTAAAGGCATTCAACATAACTTTACCGTACTGCTACAGTAATCCTAGCACCCACCTTTTTAGTGTTTTCAGTCTTTCCGGCTCCAGATTCTCCCGTAATTAGCATAGACTGATTCTCGTGGTCTAGAAGCATGTTCCTGTAGGCCAAATCGGAAACGGCAAACAAATGCGGAGGCATTTCCGTCCTTCTTTTGCCCATGAACATCGATGCCACAGATTCGGTATAGATCGGAAGACGTTTGTACGGGTTGATGACCACACAGAACAGACCAGAGTAGGTCTAGAAAATTGAGATATATCCTTCCAATTTTTCAAATTTATTCTCCCTAGATCACTTTGTTGGCTCTACTACCAGCTGTAGAAGCACCGTCCATCCAAATAACTGGGGATGGTAAGAACTCGAAGCTATATGGTGATGGGGGCCCTAACTAAGTAATCGCCCAAGTTCCGCTGCAAAAGCGAAACTCCGAGCCGGGAAAATCGCTTCAAAAGGTAGGCCGGCCAAGGCTCCGCCCCTCAACGTGGGTGGTTTGAAGAAATTCAAAAGTGGAACTTAGGATAGGTAGAAATGTCGAAAATCTTATAATCATGATGAAAGCGGATTTATGACACTTCTAAATATCTTAGAGACTATTTTTGGGGTCGTGTTTCTCAAACCACCCACTTTGATGGGCGGAGCCACCTTGGCCGTGTGTAATTTCTGGGGCAACTTTCTCGCTTCAAAATTCATCTCTTGCAGCAGGACTTGGGCAGTTGCCTAGTTAGGGGCTCCACTATTATACAGCATTAAAATCTCATTATCGTCAATTTGGGTGGATGGTGTTTAAGCCTTTCTACCCAGATCACTTTGCTTGATTCCTCTACCAACTCCCAACAAAGCTGCACATTCGGTTGGTAAGATAGATGAGAGCTCACATCATCAAGTCTGAGCAAAGAAGTGTAATCTCTCAAAGCGAGGAACTGATTCGACTTTTGCGGCAGCCGGGAACTTCTCTACTAAAGGCTCATCTATCTTCCGCAACTGCACGGTTTTTATGCTCTATTGCAATCATCCACCTAGTCCAATGGGTGTGAGAAAATGTCTGCTGGTCAGTGGGAAAATCTCAGAGATCTTTAGAATTTGTGATGATTGTGAAGACTTACGTAGATAAGCATAGACGCATAACGAGCTCGGAGATTGTGTAGAACGGATGCATCGTTAAGGAAGGTCAAATTTGACATGTCCTCTGTTTTTTCGAACTTTGGAGGATTCATTTCCTGCACAAGTTCCTTCTTGAGTGTCAACTGGAAAAACATTTTTTCAGAAAAGAAAATTTAAAATTATGTTTTTTTGCACTGGTTATAAGTGAAAAATACGAACCTCATTACCGCGCGCGGTGACTACCGTAACCTGATCTCCTTTTGTACCGGTTATCTCAGCCGCAATATATCCTTCTTCTGCATCGGGAACCCAACAGTCCTTTTTCGAGTCATACGGTTTGGATTGATCCTGAATGGGTGAAATGTAGAGGTTTTGGGTATTGAACAGTTTGGAAAGTATAAGCAGGTCTTTGATGAAGAGACTATAAAGTTGGGGAATTGAGTAGTACTAGCTCACGATTGTTGGAAGTTGGTGTGAATGGAAAAGTTTTCAAGGAATTTTCACCCGGCTATAGAAAACGACAGAAATTTCTAGATGCTGTCTTTTATTGCGAGGTTACGATTATGAAACTTTTTGAGCTTTTGTGAGTAATTAACTAACTCTAACGACAAAATACTTGCTGCTTCTTTGAGAAAACAATTTCGCAATACCTACAGTACCCCTACACCCTCCACGAATTTCGGCTTTTTTGAGAATTTGACTAGTTCTATCACTGTCAGTGGTCATGCCCATCATATATACGCTCTTCTTTAGAAAAGAATCACACTTTAGTGATTCACACTACCTATAGTATCCCTACAGTACCGCTCAAGCAATCAGATGCTTTCTCACTTGAGTAGAAGCACAAGGAATAGAAGCTCAGAGGCTAGAAGAGCTACCGTAATCATAGGGATAAAGGAGGCTTCAGAAGGGGCTTCAGTGCAGTAAGCAAAGATATACGGTACGAATTGCGCAAGTAGCCAAGAGACAGGAATGTGAAGAATGCACTGAAATAGTATTCAAGACAGGACCCACCTGGAGAGCCTGCTCTCGAGATTGGCGCAGGTACTGCCATCCGGGGTCTTTTTCGTAATCCAAGGCCATGGTGGTTATGTGCTCGGATGGAGTAGGTTATGCGGGTGTCCCGTGGCAAGACGTGCCCGAGCTATGCCAAGTCGTCGGGGCGGGCCCTTCTTGTCTTCAAGGAGGGCGACATTTGACACTCCTCATCTACTCTGCTTCTCTAGCCTCAAATGCACTGTAACACATGCCATACAACGTTGACTTCTGTCGCGGTGGCGGTGTGCGTGTGTGCG